AGGCGTTGGCAGCAGTCATGGGCTCAGCATGGAGACAACGAAGAAGAAGAGAAAGTTCGAAGAAAAGGAAGAAGATAGAATGTGTTGGGAAAATAACTTTTTTGCCCTTTAAAGGCAGTCATGCGGATATGTACTTAACGGAAGAATAGATGAAAAATAAAAAAAAAAAATAGTAAGGTGCAAATTGACTAATTATGAGAATTAAAGGGGGAAATTGGCCAAAATTAAAGTTGAGGGGGAAAATTGACTAATTATGAGAGTTGAGGGGGAGGGGGGAAATTAGCCAAAATTAAAATTGAGCGGGAAAATTAGCCAATAGTCACAAGTTCAGATGATAAATTGATGAATACCTCTTAAAAAAATATCGACAAAATTTATGTTAATTATAAACAGATCAATTAGATTTTATAGTACACTAGTGCACCAAAAACAAACAAAAATTATATTGATTTCATTGCATAACAACTGACTGGCAGCCCTTGTTTTAATTTTTGATATTTAGGAATAGGGTCAACTCGATTTCAAACCATGCATTGCAATTTCCAATTAATGGTAGGTGAATTAGTCATATCAAATGTTCGACTTTGGTATGATAGGTTTCAGACTCGTGCACAATAAAATACCAAAACCAATATTTTTTTTGTAGATTTCATTAAAAGAGGCGAGGCAAAACAGCCCCAACCCCATCCTGAAGGATTCATTACAAACGGTCCTCAAGGACAAGATCAGTGATAAAACTAGGAGGGCAGACCAGCCATTCCTGACAGCTACCGATACTTAAGCTAAATCGGGCAAGACGACGAGCTACCAAAGTCAATATTGAACGCGACTTATTAGAGCAACTATGAGATGGTCCAAAGTTTATTTAATCCATCCAAATGAATAGTAAGTGACTACAATGAACAGTAATTGACCAAATGCATCTTCATCCTTTAAAAATGAGCTAGGCAAAAATCTAGTCAATTCATATTAAAATATTATTAATTTTTTTTATAAAATAATTGTAATTTTAATTTCGGATATAATTTTTAACCAATCTTGTCACGCCACGTGTCATTTTCCAAAAATACATTTTTTGTGAAAGATGGTTAGGTATATATATAATCTTTTATTTTATTTTCTGTATTTTTAAACAAGTTTTTATTAAGTTAATTAATTTGGACCCTTGGATTTCAAAAAAATGAAATCCAACTGTTGGACGCGCGCCCACGCGCATGTCTATCCCACGCACCAACGGCAAAAAAAAACAAATTCACATAGCTGACATCAGCCTGGCGTCATGTAGACCGGTCTCTTGCTCAGTCTATTATGTGTTAGGCTCAAAGCTGGCCTCCACTTTGGGCCAACCTATTGGGTGGCGTGGGGTGAGTTTTTCTTTTTTAATGTTTTGGGGGGAAGAGAGGGTGGGGGTGGGGGGCGGCTGGCCTAAAAAATAGAGTTTGAGCTAGCACATTTGTTAGGGGTGGAAGTGCTTTTAAAGTAAAACAAAAACTGCAACATCACAGTCTGAACTCAATTCATAGTTGCTGCATAACATAAACTATAATGCAATGTCTGCCTTGAGCTTGAATTAAAACAGGCAAAATCCGATTTCTCTTTCGGCCACCATCCCAAACACTGAACTCTTTCTTCTCCCAACCCAAAAAAGATTCACTTTAACGTTCCAATAACAATACCATTTTGAGCTCCTACTCATCAAAATCTGTAAAGAAACGAACCTTGAGGCAATGCATGCATAGCTATACTTGATTCCTTCTCCTTTATATGTGCTAATATATTGCTGATCGAGTTACAGATTTGCATACTCATGAATCATGACTCATAACCAACACTGATCAAGTTGCAGACCTAAGTAAAATATCTCTTTGATTATGTCTAAAACAAAAAAGGTGGTGTTATCTACACACTCATTTTTACCTCCCACACACAATTTGTTAATTTTTATCTTTTGATCTTCTTTGATTCATTTAATCCGACAGCTAAAAACTCAGAGAGGTGTGTCAAAAATCTCATTGGAAATCTAAGGTGATAATGACACGTGGAGGATAAGATCAACAAAGTGTATATATATATATATATATGTGTGTGTTTGTGTGTGTGTATTTTCAATGTGAATAGTATCTGTGATTGACCTGCCCTTGCATGAACAATGGCAAAACAGGTGAAAGCGCTAAGAGATCGCACATAAGAAAAGTGATAAGTTCTCCCTCAGCATCTAATCACATGATGCTTGAAACCAATCAAACACTCTTTTACTCAAATTTTAGTTGTGCAAATTTTAGATGAGCAATCAATTAGGCACTTTGTCTCTCTCATAATATGATTCTAATTGCTGAGTGGCTTCATGGTCTCTCTGATATCGTATAACTGCCACACCAAAAATTAGTCACCCAAAAGTGAAAGCTTTCTATCATGTTCTAGTTTTTAGGCTGATAGCCTAAGTTTAATCTCTTCAATTATCTCAAGGCCGGAACCAACCTTAAAACTATGGTGAGCGTTGTAACCCCGCGGCGTCAGGTTTTTGAAAAATCAAAAGCTTAGTGCCAATTTTCAAGTACACTGCCACTCTATGCTCATCCCATCCTAGTAAAAATTAGCCTAGACTACCCTAACAACTCACAACACCAGTCTGTCACCAAAATTTTTAGGTGGTTCAGAGTATTGTTTTAACAGTTAAATCTTGATTTTTGTATTTTAAATAAAGATCTAACGGTTAAAACATTTAGAATATCAAATACTCTAAAATACTTAAGAAAGTATTTTTAGTCATTTGCACATATATAACACACTTAGAATATCAAATATTCTAGAGTACTCAAGAAAGTCTCATCAGTCATTTGCACATATGTAACACATTGAACAGAAAATTATAGCCCACCCCTATCGAAACTACAAAATCTGCCGCATGGCAAATGTTATAAACAAAGATTTCCTCTTACCATTGCAGTTTGGTTAGATCATATATAAATTATAAACAAAGTTTTCAACACGATCTGATTTTATTTTATTTTTGCTTAGCAAGTATGTATGTATGTTACCGTTGCCACGCCAAGCAGTCAGTTCTTAAATCTGGTTGACTTTTGAACCCAAAACCAATAGTATAATATCGTACATGTTTCTTCAAAGAACCTTTTTTCTTGATCCGAAAACACATGCAACAAGAAGTTATTCACCTTCTATTTATTGTAATTCTTAGACATATGTGTGAAACAATTAATCAAATATATTATTAATTTAAACTAAATTAAACATCACTGCTGCCGGCCTCGTTTGTACAGCCACATATCATTTTCTTCCGCAATCTTTTTGTGAATTGTCAACCGAGCACATTCAGCTTGCTGATGAGTTGTCCATGAAAGCAATGTCATTCAAGAGAAAAATTTGAGTACGACAACTTGATCACGCGACCAGTTTGATTATTCTCGTAAAATCATTAGACCATTAATTTAATATTTTTGTTGAATTCAACTCCAACGTTTAATTACAAGTTAATTTTATTTTATGTAAAAGCTGTCATAATCAGATAACTCTATCTAAATTTTTCTACTCACACTTTGTATCCCAAGCAATTGGATCTGTCTTTGTAAGCATGTGAAATGAAAGATTCTTCTTTGTTCTTCCTTCCAAGCCAAGCCATAAAAAAAGATGATGAGCAATTTGGTAAAGAAAACCCTTTTATACATGTGTCCCGATACTGCAGAATGTACCTAAATATTGATTAATCTTGCCCCTTCATTTTTATATTCTTAGATTTCCACTTATCTCTGACGTTGATTCCCAATAAAGCCATTAGGCATGCCATGTGTGATTATATTTATATTCTCTTTATATAAAGGGTAGAGCTTTGCTCCAACATGTAGCCATTTTCTTCTGTTCGTAATTTATAATGCACTAAAAGATTAGATTTTAAGTAAACGGTCTTTTCGAAATACAAAATTAATATTCTAAACTATTCTGATTCACGAAACATAATTTGAATGTAGATGTAAGGGAAAGACGCATCATCCTAACTTACATCTGCATATTAATAAAATTAAAAAAGATAGGCAGCTAGCTTATAGAACACTTAAATCAGTGGCATGTAGTTTGATTGACTCTTTTATTTGGTCTCATTATCCTGCCTACAACTTTTAGTGAAGGACGGAAATACCAATGCCCTGTGAATCAAAACTATATTGTAAATTTGTAATGCCACTTAACAGAAGTTTTCCAACGAGAAATATAAAGAGTCAATCGACCAACTACTCACATTTCGTAACTATAGCGCAAGATTTACTGCGCACTAGAAAAAACCCTGCCAGCGAACCGCTAAGAGAACAGAGAAAAAAAAGAAAGAAAGAAAAAGTGTAAACAGAATACAAAGAGTCCAAGCAATATGAATTTGTGATCAACTTCAACAAATGTCACAGTTCCCCAATGTTGACTTTTTTGCTTCATATCTTTCATTCAAACTTGGATCTTTGAATCGCTTGACTTTTTTTGGGTTTGCAAATCCATCGAGACTCAAAGTTCTCAAACTTTGAACTTAGATTTGCACAATGTTTCTTTTTCCATTTGCCTCTTCCAAAAATGGACCTCAAAATTTGAGTAACCTAGAAACCAAACCCTAGCTGGATGGTGGCCTCCATTCCTTTCTCCTTTGAGATTCTCAATCTCATCAAACATATACTAAAGTTTTACTATTTTGGGACTTTCACACCAATTAGATATATAGTTATTTTCCGGTGTGGTTAACTGCACTTTTAAACGTGCAGTCAAGGTTATCAATGATATATCTACAAGATCATATTGAAAGATTAAAGCATCAACAATATTACTGCTATATCTACATTTTAAAAATACAGTTAACCGCACTATAGACAAATTTTTAGACCTAAATAAATAAATCACCCAAAAGCTACTAAAACTCACCCTTTTCCTAGATCTCCCCTACCCCCACCCTTAAACTAGAGAGCAAAAAACCATGTCAATAATTAACAACTACTATATATCACCAAATGATTAGAAAGAGGCTTCATCATGTATATAACTGGTTCTTTAACTCCTGGAAACAACATCAAATTGTGGTGTGAATCTACTGGCATAATTCTAATACTTTTCAAGTTCAAGCACCACTTTTTTCTTAGAAATTGCATAAATACAAAAAAAAAAAAAATAACCATCGTAATTTTAACATTCTTGTTTTAACCTCCTGCGCTCATTCTGCACCCGTTGGTGTAGAAAAGATATGTAAAATATTCAATTTGGAGCGCAAATGGTTAAAAAAAAGAGTGCGAGAAAACCGCTCCCCAAAAACAAAGGGAGATAAAAGAAGAGTTAGAAATTGACATGAGTGAGTACTGGTACTCCCTACCAGAAGCAGTAGGAGTTATCGCATTTGCGGGCATGATGGTAATTATTCAGCAGACGGAAGAGTCTTCTTCTCCGGTAGGAAACGCCATATCTGAGCCTGAAACAAACCAACTTCCGGAGCTTCCTCGCCGACCTCAGCCGCAGCCATATGACCCTCTTGACTTTGTAAAAAGACCCTTTTATCCTCTCCGTCAGGCTCTTCTTCCTGCTGAACTGGTAGCTTCTGAGAAAAAGCTGCCTCTTCTCCATCAACGTGTAGTTGCTGCTTCCCTGCTCCATGAAGCTGTTGTAGTAGGATCCATTGCTAGTACTGCTAGCCAATGAGGTGCTTCTGCTGATTGATGGGTAGGTTCCGACGCGGTGAAAGCTCTGTCCCCACAGGTCGGCCATGGAGGAGAACTCAGCCGGAGAGAAACAACAACTGAGAGTTTAGAGAGAGAGAGAGAGAGAGAGAGAGAGAGAGGAGAGGGCTTTGTTGTCTTTTTATTTGGGGTATGAAATATGGAGGTTGAAAAGTAAAGGCGTCGTTTAAAGAGAAATAAAAAGGTGGGTGGGAGACTCTTGAGATTGTATAAATTCGACGTACCTTGGGTTGGTTAAGTCATAAGTTGGGTTTGCTTAGGAAGGCCATAGGCCAGCGACGACTGCGCCAAAGCGCGTGTACAAATCAGGAGAGAAACTTACCTGCAGCTAAAAGCACTGACTCATTGCTTCTTCTCTCTCTAAACTTAAGAGTCCCCTCCTCTCTCTCTTGTGCTATATATTAGTCTTGGTTTAACACGTGGTTAGGAGATAAGCTCGTGGTCTTTTTGGATGGACGGTCACGTGCCTTTCATGTCTTGCTTTTCCCTTTGCTTTCCTTGTTGGACTTTGTTTCTTCCACTCTATTTACTATTGCATGGGAGGCATGGGGAGATATGGTTAGGTTCTGTGATGATATGTTATGACATCATCCTTAACTTTTGTTTTTGTTTCTACCCAACATCAACACCGTTTTAACTTTTTAGGTTAATCAATATATTAAAATAATTTAAAATATTGCAGAAAAATAATAAGAAAGGTAAGTTAAGTGAAAAATGAACGGAGAAAACTTGACTATTGAAAAAATTAGCAGCAGCTCCTCCTACTAATGAATCACGGGTGAATACGTATTCAAGTTGCAATTAAAAAAACAATTATTTGAACACGTGTGCATTTGTAATTCTCTAGCCGCAGGAGCTGCTGCTGATTTTTCAGCAGCCAAGCTCCGTTCAAAATGAACGGCCGTCTACAAAACCCCACACTTACCAAAGCACATCACATGATACTTGTAGTTTAATTAATCAATATGAAAGTCAACACAACTTGGATCATTAGATTAACTGCCCAAATACCAATTAGAGAAGAGATTAACTGCCTAAATACCAATTAGTGAAGAGATTAACTGCCCAAACACCCAATTAGGGAAGAGATTATACCTGCCCAAATACCAATTAGAGAAGAGATTAACTGCCCAAATACCAATTAGAGAAGAGATGAAAGGCTTGTTTGTAACTGGTCTTAAAATAACTGAAAAGATTTTTATTGAAAGTATTTTTTGGATCAATCTTTATTAAAAAACGCAAATAAATCCTAAAAATGCATTTGAAGCGCTTCTTGCAATATGCACCAGTTATATACTTGTAAGAAGCACTTCAAATGCTTTTGAAACCAAAAAACATTTACTCCAAAAGCGCTTTTAGTCATATTAAAAACGCTTCCAACCAACCCGTAACTTCCCAAACACCAATTAGAGAAGGGATAGGCATCTAAATTCTTAACAACTCATACATTTTGCAATTTCTCCCTTCACAAGTTTACCACTTACAGGTAGATGATGCAATTTGTATAGTCATGTATTGCAACTCCCTTGTTATACACAACACCTCAAAGTTCAAATCAGATGCACCAAGAGTCATTGGGAGGACTTAACGTCTAAAAGTCATCAAAATATTTTCTGTTCCACCTCATCAAACTAGAACAAAATTCTAAACTAATCCAGCAAGCACAAGATATTAACAGCAATGTATAAAGAATTATATCCAGAAGCCCATCGCTTTCGTTCGCAGTCAAGAAACCTGATAGTCATGGAGTTGTTGCCAGACTAACATTAGTATGCATCATTATCTTATAACGAACATCACCATTGTCTCATAACAGTTTTTCAACCCTTTCGTCGAATAGAAATACTTCATCCAAGACATCAAGAGAGGTGGATTATAAAGTCCGATTGCTCGGTATGAAAGTAAAGAAAGAACAAAACATGAACCATGTACCAAGTTACAGTTCAGGAAAATATTTCAATATCAAGTCCAAGACATCCAATAGGCAACAGAACTCTTCATTGTGCAACAAAAAATGCGAAAAAAAAAAACAGATCGATTTGTGTTTCCTATTGTGACCTAGCAAGTATGACAATTAAATTTTCCATATCTACAATGCACACTGAACTAACAAGACATTGAAAACAATCTCAGTGGGAAGCCTGATATTTGTGACGAAAGTGCATCAAACCAAGGAGAGAAAAAGGGAGTATACCCGACATCATTTTCACCACACTATTAAGCAACTGAGGCTTTCCCGAAGGCCTCAGGGCCCTTTTAAAGCTGTTTTCCTAGTAAGAATATTCTTCATACATGTCTACCACAGACTATTGTTGTCGCCTAGTGCCACCTTCATTTGCTGAAGGAACCTTTGCGGGGTAACTGTTCAGGTCTAAGTCGATGAGTGACATGTCATACGGCACTGATGCAGAATTCAAGTTATCAACAAGAAGGGAAGACTTCATTGCATCTGAATTCTTAGACTCCGGTATTGGGCCAGTATTATTCGGAGTGGTTGCACTAGAAGATGATAGACTGGAAAGCTGTATGTCATCTATCTTGTTCCCAAACATGTTCTTGTTTCTTCTGACAGCATCCATCTCTGGGCCAGTCGGCACAAAGGTGCGTGACCGATATTTCCTCTTTCCCTCGTCACCCTCACTAGGGTTGTACAGTACATAATCATGATAAGTAGGGGCAAACTGCACACAGTTCAATATTCTCATCAGAAAGGTTGAGCAAAGCTTAAAGAGAACGATTATGCAAGGGGATAGCAAACATAATAATTTGAAAGGCTCACCTGGTGGACTGTATCATGGTAAAAGTCATTCAACTTTACGGCATGCGATAGGCTTCCAGTCAGATCTCGAGGCCCGCCAATATTTGCACCAGCATACTCCTTGTAAGGAAATGCATATAAATGACCAATAGCAGCGATAAGCATCTCAACACAAATTATGAAATTTTGATACTGAGCTGCATCCTCTGCATTCTTTATCAAGCCAGATTTCGCAGCAAGGAAGACCAACACACCCTAAATGGAAACACGTTGAATAAGTTTGAAACTTTACTTCACTATCAACAAAAAAGCAAAGGGTAACAGACCTTAAATAATTTTTTTTTTCTTTTCTATAAAATAATAGGAATAAACGACAAAGTTATCTATTTGGTACATGTTTATACACAGTTACGAGTTAGTATCATATGTACGATCCAACATTATATGCACCAACTTTTATCCACATTCTGCTACTCATGCATCTATTTCATGGTAAAGATTACACAGTTCCGCATTTTCAAGCAGCATTTGGCGAGCCTAAAGGAAAATTTTGGCCCCGAATAGTTCGTTTAAAATAATGTGGCAATAGATGTCATCCATACTCAAAAATTGCTTCTAGAAGAAATCATCTTCTGCTCTTCATGCCTAAGAATGTGATCATACACAAGCCACTGAACCATAAGTAGACTAATGTCGCTAATACAGTGAGAAAAACGTTTACCTGCCAATAAGTGAGGAAAACAACAGATTTGATTATAATAAACTTTGGAACTGGATTGAAAGGCTGGAGTAGATCTCTGCAAGCAAAGTAAAACAACGCCAAAGCATAGAGAGCTGTCGTGTATGAGATTGTGTAGATAATAGTGAGATACAGGTATGACTGTCTTGGACTGAAATTTCCATCTGCATATTTCCCCTTTGCATAAAGTATGAGTGTAACAACAGCTAAGACAGGCTTCAGGATCACAAACTGCAAACATCCTTGTTTGCACCTACGTATAAAGCGCCTGCATTAACGGTTTCATATGTGTGAGTTTATCAAATAATCATCTCATACACACAATATGATGACATAGCGTTATATACCAAAATCTCAATATTGTCCAGAAATCTCCTTAGTTATGCAGGGAATCTGCCTATTATGTGGAGAAGCCTAATTTTATGCATCCAAAAATTTAACAAGTATTCACAAGTTAAAATGAAAAGCCAAGACCACCAGCATTTTGAAAATAGTAAACAGTTAACTTAACTAGAGAAAGCGATTCCCGAGTAATACAGAATTCTGTAATTCTTACACCACAAATTCCTGGCTTGCAGATGATCATATTGGTAAATTAAGCAGAGATTGTGAACTCACCCATCCAGGGGTATGGGAGGGAGGCAACATGTCATCAGAACCACAGAAGGCTTTAGAACCCTACCGCTTAAACTTAGAACCACAGATCCTGGACCACCAACCCATGCCAAGCACAACGATAAAAAATTATAAATGACCCAAGCTTCATAGCTGAAACACAACAAAAAAAAATAGCATGAGAATAAAATAATATTCAGACAAAATGATACTTAAGTACCAGAGGGTAATAAACAGGAGAGAATGAGTGAGTGAGAGGGTGACAGAGAGAACAAGGAAAATGGCAGATGAATAAACAGAATATTCCTAACAATCATTTGTGCAGTGAAACATTTGAATAAATGAAGACATACTTACGCTTCTCTAATGGAATTAAAGTAGATTGAACCAGCAGGAATGACAAGGGATAAGAACGACATCAACGCATATATCTGTCACAGAAAACAAAGTTCATAATGGTTACATAACCAAACTCAACAGAAACTATCATTGGCATAGTGGGATCTTTAGAAAATCCTAAAACCAAGACCAATAAAAGAAACAAAAAATAGCTTGATGATCAACCAATACCCAAACAAGCAAAATTTCCAACAACACAGATTACAGTAACAAAGAATGCGCGAGTTCAACCGATGCTATCACAATCTTCAAATTTCAAAACTTTTTTTTCTTCTGGCCTAAGTTTGTCCATTCTGTAATGCATTGACCATAACAGGATCATTAAGGAAAGAAATCATGCAATCACACTATCATATTGGAAAATTAAATGGCCAGCTCATATGAAGCATGTAAACTGCATTCTAAGAATCCTTTTCATTGTATTCTCATATAATTTCTTTAAATTCAAATACATTGAAAAAATCCTAAAAGGCGAAAACAACAACCTAAACTGAATTCTTCATGTCACAATGCAGCATAAGTTAACATATTTCATATCATTTCAAAGTGGGATTTTTCTTCAAGTCAAGTACTCACCGGAACCATGAAGATGATGCGGACAATGTATCTCTGATAAGTGGGTTCAGTGTAATTGATGAGGTGCCTGTAGATATGCATGATGGCCAAAGCCATGGCTCCAACAGTACAGAAAAAAGCTATAATGCTCAAGTATATTGGGGTCGATTCCACCATTCTGAAAACTTCTAGTCCAATCAAACCCCTTTGCACATTAATTTCAACAACAATTCAAAAGTATTAGCAAAAATCATAGAAACCCAGGGAAACAAAAACAAAGAGCTTTTGAATAATCAAAATTCTAAACCTGAGGAGCAACAGCAGTGTGTATTAGTCTCTGCAGAAGAATTTTGCTTGCTAAATGTGGGTCAATTCCATCGAAAGTGAGGGAAGGGAAGGGGAATTCGTATACCCTAACCCTCACACTATTTGAAATTGCTTGAAACGCCTGCAACCGTCGAAAAAAAAAATCCCAAAATTTAAAAAATTACTAAAAAAAATGAGAATTGTAAACAGATAAATTTAATTGGGTGGAAAATAGGGTTTTGACTGAAATTAATTGGGGGAAGAAAAAATTGAAAGCGAAAGCTTGAAGAAAAACTTTACCTTTCAAGAATTCCAAAAAATTAGGAATTGGATGGTGATTGCGTGAAGCCGTGAAGGTCAAATTTTTGGGGAGATCTGCGAACCAGATGCGGAAGCCTGGTCCGATAAGATCAAAGGAAGAAGAAGAAGCAGCAACCCACAGGAAATGCTTTACTGTCTGTAACCTAATAATGGCGGCTTCCAGTCCCGCTGTACTTACAACTAATCAAAAAACCCCCACCAAAAGAATTTTATGAAAATTTAGTCCTGACCCTTTTTTTTAACTTTTAGGAGTAAAATATCTACACATCTTATTTTACATCTTACACATTTTTAATTTTTGACCGTCAGATTGGATAAATTGAAAATGATCAATAGACAAAAATTATCAAGAAGTATATGAGAAGTAAAATATGATGTGTGGATAACACACCTCCTAACTTTTATTTTGATGCTTCCAAAAAATGGCACTTATTTAATTCGATTTTTCTTTTTATTTATTGGTTATGTTGGAAAATTGCACTATTATTATCGAAGAATTTTGTGCCAATTATTGCTTAAATTAAACATTTTTTTTAATTAACTTATATCCCGTGATGATTTAACCATTTTTTTTAATTATTTAATTCTTAAATTAAAATTTTTGCAAATGCCTATTTATATATATATATATATTTGCAATGTTTTAATCACGTGCCACAAATTTAGACTTCAGGTCAGCAAAATATGAGCTTTGCCTTTGCCAAATCATCACTCAATGATCAATCCGACGAATTGACTAACGGTTGTACGATAAGAAAATCGTAAGACGTTGTATTAAATTGAAAAACATTGTATGTATTTAAAATAGGATGAAAACCTAAAAAGATAAAATATTATTTACGCTTTCAAATTTTCAATGTACGTACTTATACTAGGTCATATAAAAATCAAAATAGTAATTTTCAAGGATATTCTTGTCATTTTCAAAGTCTAACCATTTTCATTTTGTAGTTTTATAGTTCAATTTCATTTTGTATGAAGTTTTTTTTTAGTACAATGATATATATTTACACTAAGGGGAGGGGTTGTTCGTGTAACAACTCGTTCGTAATTTTACGATTTTACTAATTTTAAAGGAGTAAATTGACGAAAATGTCCCTAACAGCGAGATCGTGGACTTTTGTTGACTGTCATTTCGTGAGGTGTATGGGCTATTATTTTATCGTATTCTCGAAATACGCGATGGTACGAACACATAGGCTCAAGCAGAATGGAATTCGAACTTACAATGAAAATTTTATGGACTTACGAAATGTGAAGGGTGATTTGGTAATTTCATATTTAGAAATATTTTGTGTCTTGTTTTGTGAGCCATGTGGGGCCCACACCTCACTCTTCCCTTGCGCCCATGTCCCTCTTCAGATCTCTAGGACCTATCCCTTGTTGCCACTTCACCTTGTTTTTCTTGGCCCTTCTCTCCCTTCAAACTTTCTCATTCTCTCATCTTTTTCAGTTATCTCTCTCAAACTTTCTTAGCTATTTATCTCTCCTTCTCTGCAAACAAACCAAACCACCACCACCACCACTCACCGTTTTGCCAAGCGCCACCCATGAAACTTCCCCCATCACGAACCTAACCCAAGTTGAGACCCCATCGTTTTCGCTCTTTTCCTCATTGCACAGTATCATCATTGTGCAAAAACCTGATTCGACGAGTTCTTGCCATCTCCGACGAAGGTAAAGCCTGAAATCTTCCTAATAATTCATATATTGTGCCTAGAAGTACGCTTGGGTTATTTTTAAGACATTTTGGTGTTGTTTGGACGTAAAAACCTCTCGGGAAAATCTCCCCAATTTTTCCGACGAAGGACCCGCGAGCTGCAGGCCATTCCCCGACCATTTCCGGCCACTACGTACTTGACCCAATATTGGTGCGATTACTATCAAAGACTCCGGCTTCCTAGCTCGAATGGCTGCGACTTCGCAAGTATCTGTGAGTGGGTTCTTTCTTTTATACAGTATATATATTATTTGAGTTTCCATACATAGATTAAAAATTCATTTTCTAAGTGACGCCATAATTAATTTGACGTTATAAGAATTGTTGCAATGATGACAATTGTGAGATTATTACAAATCCCACGGGATGCACAAGTATGCATATTATTGTGGGATACCTTATTTATATTTACGATAGTAAATAGTATTATGTCGACGTAAATTATTGATTTACTGCTGTATGATCTTATTTACGTTATATGCTCATCATTGCTGCACAATGTTAGTACTCGCACGGGCTAAGGCCAATCTTTCACATGTATGTTCACATCGCACTATACGCTCACTCTGGATCCATTGTAGGTGCCAGTCCTGTCCTAAATTTCTATAGGCAATTAGGACTTGTATGTAATGCGCATAGCGCCAGTCTTCATGTGATTGTAATATTAAAGCATAGATCATTATTACACCAAGTCATGCTCATGTTAGAATACCTCTGCATGAATTCGTGTGTCAGCATATGTCGATAAGCACTCGATATGATATGTTTATTTATGCAAAATATGTGATTACGGACGTCATGTGTTTATTTACGAAAGTTTGTGATGTATTGCATTATTGAGATATTGCAGGTTACGGTAAATATTTTCATACTATACGTAATATTTATATTTTGAAAACTATACTTGTTTCACGGCGAAGGGTTATAATGTTTTCAAAAATATTTTTATAAAACTTTATTTTTAGGCCCACACACCCTTGTTTTTTGCCCCTCCAGGTTTTAGTGCTGAGCTTTCGTGTCGACGAAGATTCTTGGCAAATCTTGGTATAGGTGGTTACCTTCGATGGTATAATTCTCATCTTACTTTACTGTACTTTACATTTTAGTGCTGAGCTTTCGTATCGATGAGGATTCTTGGCAAATCTTGGTATAGGTGGTTACCTTCGATGGTATAATTCTCATCCTACTTTACTTATACTTTGATATCACGTGTGAAATTAGTTCATTACCACTCGTAAGTGCATTCTTATATTTAGTTACTTTTGGGTTTAAATTTACTCACATTTTCCACATCATTACACTTTATGGCTTCGTCACCCTCCTATGTCACCCAACACAACTCGATTTGGAGCCCAATAGGGCATTCCGGGTCGAGGTGTGTCAGTTTGGCTAAGCCACACAATAAGCAACCTAATTTGGTATTGAATTCGTTATCTATGAGATTCGAACTTAAAACCTCTCACTTACAAGTGAAGAGGAATACCATTAGGCTGTAGTACTGAGTGACATTTTTGTATGAAGTTTTAGTTATTTTTTATAAACTTTTATTTTATTTTTAGCTTCTTTTATTGTTTTTAAAGTTCGAAGTTGAAGTTCCTAATATATCTTTAGATTTAACGAAAAAATAGGTGGAATTATTGAAAATGACCAACGGTATACTACATTGTCAAAGATTAAATAAACTAATACAAAAATTCAATATCTAAAATTAAATTAAGTGGAAAATTAAGGACTATTTATATATATAATTAAGCCAAAAAACAAAAGTAGAAGAAAGAACCGGGTATTCGGGTCAAGTCTTCATTTGAAATGCTGACCCGACAAGAAATATCCGCTTTAGTGCGAGAAAATATTAACCTCGGTGGAAGTTTGGGAGGCCATACATTTTCCAACGGGCTGGACTGGAGTGTGGCCTTATCTCCCTCCTCTGCCCCTCTCGCTATATAAACCCACAGCGGCCGTTATCCTCTCCGCTCTCAATCCTCCACAGACCTAAAGATTGAGCCTCCCTCTCTCGTTATCCTCTGTCTTCCTCCTCTTCGAGGAGTTTCGGCAAACACCTTGCGTGCAAGGAGAAGGAACAAGGAAGAAGCAGAGCGAAGAGCGTTCAGGGTTCTGCAGAAATTGCAGAGATGACTTCTATTGTTGGAGTTTCGTCTGTATATGCCCAGACTCCGTGCAGCGAGCTGTACAGAAGAGCGGCGGCGCCGGCTGCGGCAACGACGAGCAGTGCTACTCTTTCGTTGGCGTTTCCCGAGAGGCCTCACTTCAACAGTGTTTTGAGAGGCAAGAGTGGGTTGGTCAGGCAGGGCTCCGGTGTCGTTTGTTCGGCCATTGCCACTCCGAACTCGGTGCTCAGTGAAGAGGCGTTTAAGGGACTCGGTGGCTTTTCGAAGGACTCGCTTGACTCCGACTCGGAGTACGAGTCGGAAACTGAGCCGGGTTCCGCTGGTAGTGACGACGATGAGCTCGCTCTTTCCAAGCTGGGGTTGCCTCAGCGGCTTGTTGATAGCCTTGAGAGACGTGGCATTTCGAGCCTTTTTCCAATTCAGGTACTTCATTTCTCTCTCTGGTTTTGCTTATCTTATCTATTTCCTTTGAATTTTAGTGTTATTTTTATCATGAAATTACTGTAATTTAGTTTTTGTTGGAACCCTTTTGAGCATTATCCTTGAAATCGTGTGTGGTGTGATAAAAATGTAAGCTTCTTGTAACAGTCTGAAAGGTGCCCTTATAGCATAAACCCTGAACCCTACCCTATATGTATGGATATGTAGGTGTATGAAGTGGTTTACTGATAGCTTTCTTTGTTGAAAATGTTTAGAGAGCTGTGCTAGTACCTGCACTGGAAGGTCGAGATATCATTGCTCGTGCGAAGACAGGGACTGGAAAGACATTAGCCTTCGGAATCCCAATACTCAAGCGTCTCACAGAGGATGATGAACAGAGAGGCTCTCATAGGTACCATTTGTGATGAAATTTATTATTCACAGTACAACTAAAGACATATCCTTTCGAAAATCATGGGATGAATTTCCGTTTTTGTAGGCGGACTGGTTATCTTCCGAGAGTTTTGGTGCTTGCACCTACACGGGAGTTGGCAAAGCAAGTTGAAAAGGAGATGAAAGAATCTGCCCCTTACCTAAACACTGTTTGTGTCTATGGGGGAGTTTCCTACATAACACAACAAAGTGCTCTCTCCCGTGGAGTTGATGTAGTTGTTGGAACTCCTGGTCGGATTATTGACCTGATAAACGGGAACAGTCTCAAATTGGGCGAAGTTCAATATTTGGTACTTGATGAAGCTGATTCGATGCTTGCTGTTGGATTTGAGGAGGATGTGGAAGTGATTCTACAAAAGCTTCCAGCTCAGAGGCAGAGCATGCTTTTTTCTGCAACCATGCCTGGTTGGGTGAAAAAACTATCACGGAAATATTTGGACAATCCATTGACAATTGATTTGGTAAAT